GTCTTATTTTATATCCCCAGGTTGTCTAGTTAGTTCCCCGTGGTCAGAGGCTGTTGTGCATGCAGTGGAATCGCAGAGCAGTTTGGGTGGGAAGGGACCTCAGAGCCCCTCCAGTGCCCCCCTCTGCCCTGGGCAGGGCCACCTTCCCCCAGCCCAGGTTGCCCAAAGCCCCGTCCACCCTGGCCTTGAGCCCTTCCAGGGAGGGGGCAGCCACAGCTTCTCTGGGCAGCCTGGGCTAGGGCCTCACCCCCCTCACAGGGAACAATTTCTGCCTCAGATCTCATCTAAATCTCTACTCTGTCAGTATAAAACCGTTCCCCCTCATCCTGTCCCTCCCCCCTTTCCTGCAGCCCCTTTCAGCCCTGGGGGGCCGCTCTAAGGTCTCCCTGGAGCCTTCTCTCCTCCAGCTGAACCCCCCAACTCTCCCAGCCTGTCCTCACAGGGGGGTGTTCCAGCCCCCCCAGCACCTTCACCAACCCCAAGGACACCACTTGTCACCACTCTCCGCCCGGCCATCGAGCCATTGACCACAACTCTGAGTGTGACCGTCCAGGCAATTCCTGATCCACCCGGTGCTCCATCTGTCCAATCAGTGTCTCTCCAATTTGGAGACGAGGATGTCCATGTGCAGGACGGTGTCAGATGCTTTGCACAAGCCCAGTAGATGACATCAGTTGCTCTTCCCTTACCCACCGGTGCTGTAACCCCGTCGTAGAGGGCCAACATTTGTCAGGCAGGATTTGCCCTCAGTGAAGCTGTGTTGGCTGTCACCAATCACCTCTTTATTTCCCACATGCCTTAGCACAGTTTCCAGGAGGATCCGCTCCATGGTCTTGCTGGGTACAAGGGTGAGACTGACTGGCATGTAATTCCCTGAGTCTTCTCTTTTCCCTTTTTAAAAATGAGGGTTATGTTTTCCAGTCAGTGGGAACCCTGCTGGACTGCCACGACTTCTCAGATATGATGGATAGTGGCTGAGCCACTTCATCCCCCAGTTCCCTCAGGACCCACAGGTGCATCTTGTCAGGTCCCATGGACCTGTGCACCTTCAGGTTCCTTAGTTGGTCTTGAACCTGCTCTGCTCCTTCGGTGGACAGTTCTTCCTTCTCCCAGTCCCCACCCTTGTCCTCTGCCCCTTGGGCGCTGTGGCTGGAGCACTTGGCCAGTGAAGACAGACAAAAAACTCATTGGGTACCTCAGCCTTCCCTGTATCCTAGGTACTCACATCCCCTGTTTCCTCCTGGAGAGGACCCACATTTTCTCCAGTCTTCTCTTTATCACCAGTGTACCTATGGAAGCTTTTCTTGTTGCCTTTGATGTCCCTGGCCAGATGTAATTCTATCAGGGCTTTGGCCTCTCTAACCTGATCCCTGGCTGCTCAGAGAGTTTCTGTGTACTCCTCCCAGGCTCTCTGTCCTGTCTTCCATCCTCCGTAGGCTTTCTTCTTGTGTTTGAGCTTGTCCAGGAGCTCCTTGTTCACCCATGCAGTCCTCTTGGTGTTCTTACCTGACGTCTCTTTGTTGGGCTGCATCGCTCCTGCACTTGGAGGAGATGATCCTTGAATATCAACCAGCTTTTTTTGGCCCCTCTTCTCTCCAGGGCTTTATCCCATGGTCCTCTGCCAAGCAGATCCCTGAAGAGGCCAAACTCTGCTCTCCTGAAGCCCAGGGTAGTGGGCTTGCTCTGAGCCCTCCTCGCTGCCCTCAGGATCTTGAACTCCCCCATTTCATGGTCACTGCAGCCAAGGCTGACCTTGAGCTTCACACTCCCCACCAGCCCCTCCTTGTTGGTGAGAACAAGGTCCTCTCCTGGTTGGCTCCTCTGTCACTTGGAGAGGGAAGTTCTCATCATCCTGGACTGCTCGTGCCCTGCTGGGTTGTCCCTCCAACAGATATTGGGGGGCTGAAGTCCCCCCTGAGTCCCAGGGCTTGTGAACATGAGGCTGCTCCTCTCTGTCCATAGAGGGCCTCATCCACTCGGGTCTTCCTGGTGGGGTGGCCTGTAGCAGACCCCCACTATAACATCTCCTGTCCCTGCCCTCCCTTTAATCCTGACCCACAAGCTCTCGCTCAGCTCCTTGTCCATCCCCAGGTGGAGCTCTGCTCTCCAGCTGGGCACTGGCACAGAGGGTGACTCCCCTCCTCATCCGCCCTGCCTATCCCTCCCGAAGAGCCCGTGTCCTTCCATCCCAACGTTCCAGTCACGGGAGCAGTCCCACCCCGTCCCTGCAGGTTTATTCCCTGTGCTTCGTTTGCACAGAGGTGTTTATGTTGGGCCCTGAGGAACCCGACTTACTGGCTGGAATTCCTTTGTGTGCTGCTCGGGTGCTCTCCTGCTGCCCTGGGGCCCCTCGCCTGGCTCTGGGTATCTCTTGCTGGCGCTGACATCCAGCTGGTTGGAGTGGGGTGGATTGAGGTTCTCTAGTCCCAGCAACTTTAGGTTAAAGCCCCTTTCACCAGCGTGGCAAGCTGAAGTTGCCAAATAGCTGTTGGGTTTAGCAGGGTTCACAAACCACCTGCTTGGTGCTTCATGCACACTGCATGCTGCACAAACACATCCAGCATTCCATTTAAAAAAATAATAAACTTCAGAGCAGAATGATTTCTGAAGTCTTAAATATCCTGTTCTGCAAAAACTGGGACAAAGTAATAGTTCTTGTAGGCAGGGAGCAAACACATTTGGGATCAGCGAGATCCTGTGATTGCCTTACAGCCTGGGCTCAGGGGAATGACAGAATCCTAATGGTGTTGGACACTCTGAGGAAAAATCTGTTCTTGATCGCAAACTCCACAGTACTGATGTGCGTTTCTGGAGGCGATCAGCCCGTCACTGGGCTGTGGCTGTCCTTATCTCCACCCCTCACGCCCACCAGTGCTATACTGAAGTTCTGGGCAAAATTATTTTTAATTCCTGCAAGTCTGCAGCAGAAGTTCTGGAAGTCATGTGTGGGGGGGTGTGTGTGGGGGGTTTTTTTGGTTTTGCTTTTTTGTTTTTAAAGAAGGCATTTGACAGTATTAAATTGTTTGGTTTTGCAGTGGTGAATTGTTCTTTTGAGTAAAAAAGATTAAATTACGGAGCGGGGAGGGCCTTAGACTGTTAAACCTGATCTCAATTCCTTGGCCGAGGAAAGAGGAGTGATGATGGAGAAACCCAGCTGCTGGAGACCTGGCACAGCCCCTGCTCTCTCGGTGGCTCCTGTAGCCTGGACACACACAGTGGGCTCCTTGGGGCAGATCCTGCCCCGAGACAAAAGCTGGCTCACGGCACTTCTCCGCTGAGGATGTCTGGGAACCTCTTTAGAAGTCCCGGAGTGAGAACCTGCTGTGCTGGACAGACCCTGGGTGCTGGAGGCACGGTGACAGCGGGGCTGCCCCGACGGCGGGTCTGGAGCCCCTCGTGTGCTGATCTCGTTAGTGATGAGGCTTTAATAGAAACGTGGGGAACGTGTGATGCTGAGGTGGGCCGAGGGTCCCCCGGAAGCACAGGGAGGCATTAGGGGGCTGGGCTGTTACAGTTCCAGTTGTCACTCGCCCAGCAGTGCAAAACACAGACTGCACAGCAGCCAGCCTTTGGGAACTGGGGAGGATCCGGCGTCCACGAGGTTCTCCCGGAGGGACGCAGCCCCTGGCCTGGGGCAGCGTTCGGGTCCGTTGGGCAGAGGGAGCTGGTGCGGCTGCGCGTGGCTCTGGCCAGAGCTGGCGCCGTCACCGGGGCAGCGCAGAGCCCGTCTCAGGACGAGGACAAAGGATTTAGTTTTCTTTGCTGTAGTGCTATGAAGCTGAGGGGACCTGGTGGTGTCTGTGAACTTGAGGGCGCTAGAACTGAAGTAATCTTACTGGACTCGTGAGATAAGAGCTATCATGAGAACACCCCCCATAACCTGCTCATGGATGGTGGGTCAGGAAGGTGCCTGCTGGCCATTGGAGCACGCTCCCTTTCCTATGCTTGGGTAAGATAATCCGGTTTGGAATGTGCCACACAGCAAGGGTGAGCTGAGCAACTGAGGAAGACCCTTCCTCCCTGATTAGAGCCCAAAGAAATCTCTCCTCGGGCTGGAAACCAGTTCAGTCTCATTCAATTGGGAATCCTGTTTGGTGTGTCCTGTCCTACCCAGGAACACCTGGAAGAATCCACGCGGTGTGGCACGTCCCACGTAAGCCCTCGGAGCAGGACAGACCAAACCAATTGCGACTGTCCAGGAGGGTGACGCAGTGGGAGATGGGCCTGAGACTGGCCCTGGGCAGGTTCAGGGGTGGAAGTAGAGCTTCAGGTGTGGCAGTGACTCTGCTCCCTGCCTGCCTCGGTGGTTCTCCCTGGTGGAACCAGCTGCTTAGTTCTGGAGAGTCGTTTGCAGCCTCTCCAGAGGTGGCTGTGCTGAAGGTTTGCCTTTTAGGGGGGGTCTGTACGTGTGTTCTGCTCGTGGTTCTTGTGGCTGGAGTTACCCCTTCCCCAGAGCTCTGAGTGGGTTGTGGGGGTGTCTGTAGAGGTGCCTCTGCTGTCAGGGTGTCTCTCCTCATTCAGCAGCTTTGTGTGAGCGGTGCCCTGCTGATGTGTGGAAAAGTTGCCTTGTAGGTGTGTCCCTCTCCAAGAGCCCTGAGGTGGTGACTGGTTGCAGAGATCTGGGCATCTTTGGCTGTTCCCAGGGCTTCCGTCATAGCTGGGTTGCTCATGACAAGCACTGTAGATCTAAGTGAGGTGTTGTCAGGACTTGCACATTGACAGGGAGTCCTCCCCAGCTTGTCTTCCCACGCAAGCTCTGGTCTCTAGGGCCGCTCTTGGAGAGGGACGTTAAGCTGCCTGAGTCCATCTGCTGCCAAGGAAACGATGGAGATCTGTGTCAGGGCAGGTGACCCGAGATGAGGGACTGACGAGGGCCGGCGTAGCTCCCCTGTGCTGCCCCTTTGGCACCAGAGCGCCCTGGAGCTGCAGGGGTTCCCTGGGATCCGGTTGGGGATGGGCTACAGTTCCCTGTATCCTAAACATCCATGACTTTCTTCTAGTGGCACCGGACACGATTAACAACCACGTGAAGACCTGTCGTGAGGAGCAGAAGAACCTGCACTTCTTCGCCCCGGAATATGGAGGTATGGTGTGGCTACAGCTGCAGGCCTGCTTTTGGTGGCCTTACCAGTGGTTCCAAGCTGTTCAGGCTCACGACAGATGTCACGTTAACTGTTCTGAATTATTTGCCTGCTTCAGCACTTCAACTCCTCTGTCTTTTGATAGCAGAGGAGGGAGAGAAGGCTGGAGGATTATCACAGCCTGGTATGGAGGTGGTCCTGCTGGACGCGGGATGGGCTGCTAACGAGTGTTATTTGTGTTACAGAAGTTGCCAACGTCACCACTGCTGTGGACATCTACTCCTTCGGGATGTGTGCACTGGAGGTGAGCGTGGAGCGCTTTGGCTGTGGGCAGAGAGAGCAGGAACGTGAGGGAAGGAGGCGGCTCTGTGGGGGTGCTGTGGTTGTGGGGGGTGAGCTTGCGAACCAGTGTGTTTTGTTTGGAGACAAATGCGCTTTCCCTTGGAGGGGTCCCTGTCGAGGCTCCCCCAGATGCCTTACTAAGAAGTAAATGGCTCAGTAACGTGCAGTTCTGTCTGGAATTCTTAATGTGTAGTTCATTATCTGCGGGTTTTGGCCAGTTCTGAAGTCTGACCCACTGGCTGCTGTAGTCACTGCTACAAACTGTGCTTAATGTGCCTGGAGAAAAGAACCTCCCCTTCTGGGGGCACCTCTTCTTCCTGCGCCATCTGCAGGGGAGGACGGATGCAGCCCCTAATTTCTGGGCGAGCCTGTCCCCACCTGATAGAGGTGCTGGTCACAGTCCAGCACGAGTCTGACACCCCTGATCATAACAGCTTGGTGGTTCCTCTGTCCTTGCAATCAGCAGGCCCAAGTCTAGGAAATGGGAGCTGTTGGTAGGAGTGTTTGTGGGGAAGAATTGTCAAAAAGAGCCAAGAAAGAACCAACCCAAAGAATTTTCAGCCTATGTTGTACATCCTGTAAGTGAAGCTGGAAGAGAACTGTGGCAACACGCAACTTTTAGGAAGCAAAAACTTGAGTTGAACCTTAAGGCGCTCTCTGGAATCTTTTTTCAGCCTTTCCTGGCTGGGAATTCATGTCCATGTTGTCTGGGGGCAGTTCTGGGGGGCGTCCTGTGCTGCTTTTCTGCCTGTAGCACAGAGGGGTTCGCAGCCAGGGGCACCCTGCCGGGTTCTGGCAGCCGTGCCATGCAGTTACTGCTTCGTTAGAGGGTGGGAATTACCAAGCAGAAGCGCAGACCAGTGGATGGTGAGATTGAAAACAGAGACCCCGACTGCCTGAGGTGGTGCTGGCAGAGCTTCCAGGTGCCCCTGGCCATCTCTTGGGGGGCTGGAGACAAGCTGTCGTAACCTCCACAAATCTGACCTGAATAGCACCAAGGGACTGGGCTGCCGCCCTCCCACCCCAGCTCTGGTCCCTCCCTGGGCTCTGGCCAGCCTGATGCGCTGCTCTGTGTTTGCAGATGGCAGTGCTGGAGATCCAGGGTAACGGGGAGTCGTCGTACGTGCCGCAGGAGGCCATCAACAGTGCCATCCAGCTGCTGGAGGACCCCCTGCAGAGGGTGAGCGGGGGGCGAGTGGTGCCCCGCAGCCGCGTGGGCTCCCCCAGGCCTCACCCCTCTCTGTCCCGCAGGAGTTCATCCAGAAGTGTCTGGAGCAGGACCCCGGCCGGCGCCCCACCGCCCGGGAGCTGCTCTTTCACCAGGCCTTGTTCGAGGTGCCGTCGCTCAAGCTGCTGGCTGCTCACTGTATCGTTGGACACCAGCGTGAGTGGGGGGTCCCGGGGGGCAGCCGGCGGCCCTGGGGCCTCGTCAGACGGAGCCACGCTGGCCACGGAGCCTGGAGGGCTCTGTGCCCGCCCACCCCACACGGCCTAAAGCCTCGGGGGCTTCATTCGCTTTTCTTAGGCTGGAAAGGAATTGCAGTTGTTCTATTTTTTTTTTTTAATAGATATGATTCCTGAAAATGCTTTAGAAGAAATGACCAAAAACCTTGACATGAACGCGGTGTTGGCAGAGATCAATCACGCGGACAGGGAAGGAGTCAAAATGATGTGAGTGGCCATGGTGTGCGCGGAGGGCACGGGGCACGGGGGTGAGCGCTGTGGGATCTCCTGGGGCTCTCCCCAAAGCTGGTGTCGGTATTTCACCACGAACTGGGAAACAGATGGGAGCTGGTGGTGCTGCGGGTGAAGGAGCCCTCGGTCTGGGCACGGGAAGGTCTGTGGAGGGCGACTCCGGGCTGGAGGAAGACCTTGCACCCCTGTTCTGCACACAGGTCCCGTGCAGCTGAGATGTGACTTGGTCTCCAGAGGGAGGGGTGGGAAATGAAGACGCTGTAGTTGGAAGAGTCCTCAGCCCAACCTGTCTGGACGGTTTGGGGAAGGGACTCAAGGCACAGGCCTGTCAGATGGAGTCCAGCACGTTGGAGAAATGGCTCCTCAGCGCTTACAGAGCAGCTTGTGCTGCAGTGGGCAGAGGGAAAGGCTCTTCTGGTCACCCCTCGGGAACAGCAGCCACTTAATAGTGGTGGCTCCCTAAATAAGCGACCGTAGTATGTGAGGAGCAAGCAGAGTGCCAAAAAGTGATGTTGAATTTTGGATAATGAACACTCGGTTGGTTGAGGGGTTTGCTGAAAGGACTAAGACGTGGATCCTGTATCTCCAGAGAAGATGGGGGTGTTCCCCAGTGTTCTGGGGAGCTCAGGCTTCTAACAAAAGGGCTCAGGGTGACAGAGGAAGAAGCACTGTTTGCTTGAGGAGCTCTCTGAGCCATGCAGGCCTTTCTGAAAACGACATTCTGATCTTCACAGCACTAGTAAATAATAGTATTGAATTTCCTGTGGAACGTTGTGAATGAGGGGTTCAAAACGGAGGGTGGGGAGTGAGCAGGCGAAGCCACGAGGCTCTTCACTGGGCTGCAGGGCAGTGACCGTCTGGCACGTGCCAGCCTGGGACTTGCCTTTTGGTAGCACGGTACAAGAAAGTGTAGTAATGACTTAACGTCAGCACCACTTCGAGGTGGTTCCTCAGTGCCCTGCAAACTGAGCTGCTAGAAAAAGGTGTGAACTTTGCTGAAAACTACTGCTCTTGGCAGGGGGGGAGCTAAGTGTTGTGTGTGTCGAAGGGCTGAGGGGTGGTGTGGGGGGCCGGGGCGATGCGCTGCCTACGCCAGGTCTGGTGGGACCCTGAAGCACCCGGGGGGGTGGCAGGACTGGAGCAGCTTCGCAGCCCCTGGTCAGTCTCTCGAGTTCTTCAAAGCAGCCGTGGGAGTGGCCCGAGGAGGACTGGCTGCTCAGAGCGTTTGTGTCAGCCAGTCTGAAAGAAGCTGTGGTCGAGTGGACACTAAAAAGCTGAGTTGAGTCAGGTGATGAGGAAGGGGTTTTCCTGGGCAACCGGCACAGTGGGAGAACCTGTGTCTCCTCGTTAGCCGAAGGCAGGACGCAGTGAGGCTCAGCGGTGCTGCCGGTGCTGTGCAAAGACAGTAGCAGTTTGCTCTAGGGGAAGAACTGCTGCTCTGTCTGAGAAGGCTGTGAAGTGACACCACAGGAAAATGCCACTGCCAGCTCCTGCCAGGGCTCTGCTGTGCAGCTGCAGGCGGGAGCCAGCGCGGGGAGGGGGGGCATGGCGCCGAGGGAGACGCCGCCTGTCCCCGTGCGCAGGGCAGTGGCCTTTGGACAGGCTTGGGGCCCCGAGTCATTGTCACCTCACGGCGGGACTGTGTGTGCTGGGGGCTTGGAGCAGTGGGTGCACAAGTTATGGCCTGGAGGGGAGGGGCTGTCACCCGCGAGGGAAGCGTTCAGCGGGATGAGGCCGGGCTGGGAGGAAGGAAGGGTTCCTCCAGGACGCTCGGTGGGAAGCCGCCAAGCTGAGCGAGCGATCCAGGACAGAAACGGGAGAGAACAGAAGTATCCTGAACTCCAGCGAGCGGCACTGGGCAGGGCACGGGATCCAGAGGTGTGTCCAGCTGCCGGGCTGGCAGCCGCGGCAGAGGCTCGTGCCTCGCAGCACCGAGTGCCCTCGCTCCTGGGGCTGGGACGTGGGCTGGTGTCTGGAACACGGTGTCGCTGGGCTGGCTCCCAGGTGATTGTTTGCACGGGACAGCCACAGGGAGGGCGATACCTGCTCTGCCGTCATTAAGCTGTTGCCTCACCCTCGGCGGCCACGAGTGGTTGTTTCCCGTAGAGGGCGGCTGGAGCCTGCCTGGCTGCCTCTGCCCCCGGCATGGCCACAGCCCAGGCCACGGGGCTTTGAAACAGCACCTGGAGACTGACTGGGTGGTTCTGAGATTACTTCTCACCTCAGTGCTTTTTTTTTTTTTTTTTTTTC